GACTTTGCTTGAAAGCAAAGATGAGACAGCCCGTTAGTGTTGGTGAATATATTTTTGAATTTTTAAATTCCAAATATATTCTTAAATTGGTCGCTCTTAGTGAGTACAAGATCATTGATCACAGAGATAGAAAACTAATGGTTTCTAGGAGGTGTTAGACCATTGGCTACATAGTTATGAGATTGTGATTCTTAGTAGTGAACAGATTACTGATCACATGCCAAGACATGATAGTTCCTAGTAGTGGAGCGGTTACTGATCATATGTCAAGACATGATGATTCCTAGTAATGAAAGAGTCTATTGATCCTATGTCAGGACGTTGTGATTCCTAGTAGCAAAGTAACTACTGATCACAGGTTAAAACATTTTGATTCCTAGTAGTAGAAAGTCTACTGATCACATGCTGAAAAAATAGTGATTCCTAGTGATAAGACTATTGGCCATGTTATGAAGTTCCGAATAATAGACTATTGAACACTAGATTTGTGTCTGCTAATAGTAAGACTATTGGCTCCAGAGTGATAGGTTGGACTAAATATGTTTGCGTGCCTAATTTGGTTGATGACATTCTGGGAATGTATTTAATGTGATATGATTTTGAGAGTTTCATAATCATTATGACACAAGGAATTGTTTAAAGACCCTGTATGAATTTTTGAAAAAAGCCAAAAGCCTATGTATAAATTCTATAAATGTGGGGGTGTCATGCCAAAAGGTGGTAATATCTAAACCCAAGAGGATTAGGATAAGCTTAAAAATCCGTTGACTTTGTATTCAACGGTAATGCACAATATAGCAGCGCATATCAATTTCTTGTGTTTTAAGTCTGCTATCCCAGATATACACAAGAATACTATCATGGAATCTATGCATCTTTCTTTGAAAATATATTTCTTTGTCATATCCAAGAAGGGGTTCCACGTTCCATGAAAAAGGTTGAAGGTGACAATGATCACATAGATGATCAAGTTGAAGAAGTAGATAAGCCAAGAAGGAGTAAAAGGGCTAGGACCATAAAGTCCTTTGGTTCGAACTTCTTGACTTATATGTTAAAGGGAGAACCTCGAACTTTCCATGAAGCTATAACTTCATCTGAAAGTCCTTTGTGGAAAGAAGCAATTAAGAGTGAGATTGACTCCGTCTTACAAAACCATACTTAGGAGTTGGTTAATCTACCCCCAAGCAGTAAGGCCTTGGGAAGTAAGTGGATCTTTAGAAGAAAAATGAAAGCAGATGGATCAATTGATGAGTATAAAGCTAAGTTAGTTATCAAAGGATACAGGAAGCAAGAAGGCCAGGATTATTTTGATGCGTATTCACCTGTGACAAGGATTACATCCATTCGCATGGTGATTGCGATAGCGTCTTTACGTGGTCTGGAGATACATCAGATGGATGTAAAGACAGTTTTCTTAAATGGAGATTTGAATGAAGAAATTTACATAGCACAACCTAAAGGGTTTTCAGCTCAAGGACAAAATAAGAAAGTCTGTAAGCTTGTCAAATCATTGTCCTAAGCAATGGCACGAGAAGTTTGACAATGCTATGTTGTCAAATGGGTTCAAAATCAATAAGTGTGACAAATGCGTATATGTCAAAGACACTGACAGAAGTTATGTCATTTTGTGTCTATACGTTGATGACATACTCATTGTTAGTAATAATGATGAGATGATTAGAACTACCAAGAGATTGAACTTTAAGTTTGACATGAAAGATATGGGCCTTGTAGATATCATTCTGGGTATTAAGATTACCAGAACATCTAGTGGTATTGTACTTTCTTAGTCTCACTATGTTGAGAAGATACTTGAGAAATTTGGTAAAGTGTGTCTAGGACATCGGTAGGCGTGAGTCGACATTTGACCAAGAATAATGGTGAGAGTGTCTCTCAGCTAGAATATTCTCGAGTCATTGGAAGTTTGATGTATCTGATGAGTTGTACAAGGCCGGATATAGCCTACTCTGTTAGCAGGCTTAGTAGATACACGAGTAATCCGAATGTTACTCATTGGAGGGGCATTATGCAGGTGTTAGGTTATCTACACTACACCCGGGATTATGGGATGCATTATACCAGATACCCGGTGGTACTAGAAGGGTATAATAACGCTAATTGGATATCTGATATAAAGGACTCCAATTCACTAGTGGTTATATGTTTACCCTCGGAGTGGCAGCCGTGTCTTGGAAATCTTCCAAGCAAACGTGTATATCAAGATCAATGATGGAATCTGAGTTTATTAAGCAACTGAAGAAGCTAAATGGCTTCATCAGTTTGTTCAGGATATTCCATGTTGGCCAAGGCCTGTGCCTGCTATCTGTATTCATTGTGATAGCCAATCAACGATTGGACGGGTACAGAGTCATATGTATAATGGAAAGTCTAGACATATCGGTCGTAGACATAATTCCATACGACAACTACTCTCTAATGGAGTTTTTTCTCTAGACTATGTAAAGTCTAAGGACAACATTACGGATCCACTAACTAAAAGGTTAACTCGAGAGGTAGTAGAGACGTCGTCAAGAGGAATGGGGTTAAGGCCTTTAGTAATGTTACCAGAATGGAAAATCCAACCTAATTGACTGGATTCAAAGGGACAACCTAATTTCGTGTAACGGGTGAGTCATTGAAGAGGTAAATCCTATTGTCCATTCCTTTGCACAGTGATACCCTGTAGGGGTGGAAGGTTAAACTAATGCTTTTAATGACCTAAGTGATATGAATAATCAACCGTGGTATAATAAGATACCTTATATAGCTCACTTATGTGAGTGCGAAATGGGGCCGCTTCTTTAAAAATTGGTAAAGCCAAATTCTTTAAATACACTCACTGAACCAGGCTAGTGTTCCAAGACCATACTGGACACACAAGTGAGAACAAGAACAATAGTTAGACTAACACCTGTGTGAGGTCTATTGTCACCGTTTACACAAACGGCAGAACAGTTCAAGACATCACGTTCACTGGTCAGCTAGTAAATCTGATAGGCTTTCACTACGAAAGGTTCAAGGCCAACAGCTACCTTTTCTGATGCAGGGTTAGTCTGTGTGCTCTCTCTTCGAGTTTTTAGTGTAAACGTTGTCCATTTTTCTTTATTCAGTCAATTTTTATTCATGTGGGAGATTGTGGAAAAAAAATGATTTTATGATGACTTTAATGTGAAATTAAAGTAGGTCCCAACTATTGATTGAGGTGAGATTAAATAGGTTTAGATTCTTTATAACAAGATCTTACACCACAAAAAGAATGACAAAAATTGACTCATTAAGTTGGCCTCATGAAAGAGGTGTTGAAAAAGCTGGCTGAAGGATTATACATACACATGTATATAAAACCTGGAAACTCCTTTGTATACATGATGGATTAAAGCCATCAATTTTGCAATTTATGTCTTGGGAGTTTTGGAAAATTAAAACCTGTATTTATTGCAAGAGCCTTTTCCTCTCTTTCTTTGTGTGTATAAAATGAGACTCTCTCCTTCATTCTTCTACACTAGAAAGTTTGCTCTCCCTTTGTGTTCAAAGTTTTCCTCTAGAATTTTTATGCTTCTTGTGTGAGAGAGTGCTGCCATTGTCGATTCGCCAAAGCTAACAGAATGTGCTTCTGCATTAGCCGGTCTAAATCGTCGTATCTTAGGAGACAGAAATCGACGTACCTCTAGCACCCACGATGAGGCGGCTAATCTGTTTTAAAGACAGTGTGGTATTACATAGGTTTCGGTTTGTTTTTTTTACGATTTATCGTATTATATATTTCATATGGTTGTAATATTTAGCATGTTTTCTCATTCTGTAAAGTAATTAATTAATCATGAATTTATTTATCTTGTTTGATTTACACAATTTGGACAACACAAAGTTCTTGTCAAGGAAAGAAAGTCAATCTATAATCATAACTAAGATATTAACTATGCTGACGTAAAAATAATATATATATATATAACAAAAAATAAAAGAATAGAAGGAAAATTGAGATAGCCATTTGGTGAAACAATCCCAATCTCCAAACCCTCCTCTGCTTCTCCTAGCCATGTCTTCCTCTGCCCTCCTCCACCGCCGCCAGCGCCGCCGCGTTTCCCCTTCAGCCATCGCCCTCCCTTTCAGCTCCTCTGTACAGAAGGTGATCGGCAACGATGATCTTCTGAAGCAGATCCTCGTTCGATTACCGGCGAAGCCTCTGTTTTCTTTCAAGGCCGTGTCGCACAGATGGCTATCTCTGATCTCGGATCCTTACGTGATGCGTGATTGGATTGCTCCGAAATCTCCTTCTGCGTTCTACTACCGAAGGCACAACTCTGTCACTTCACACACTATCAAATTCAATCATGTTTCTCTCAATGTGTTAGAAAATAAAAAGAAAAAGAAGCTTCGGTCATCATACTACCATCATTACCCTTCAAAAATATTAACTTTTCAAAACTACCATTTGGTTAGGGTTGCAAACGAACCGAGTCGAGCCGAGTTATTTTGAGCTCGAGTCCGGCTCGTTTACTTATCGAGCTCACTTAAAATTTGTTCTTTGTGATTATTGTCCAGATATGTTTCTCAATATATTTCATTCACTCATCAATATTTTGGCACCCACCAATAGTAAAGATAACGTAGGTTCTTGATTGGTCAACAGCCATTGCAAATGCAACATTTCACCACATTGCCAAAATTTTGAATTACATCCTTACTTAGAAACTCACGAGGTTCAACAGGAAGTAATATCAATCATATTGGAAATGACACATTGTTGATGTTACAAATCCATTTCATGGCAAAAGAAATATATAAATTTATCGAATAGGAAATAAAATCAATTTAACATATCAGAAATGACACATCCTTGATCTTAAAAACCATTTCATTGCAATAAATTTACAACTGTCTAAACTATTACAGCAAGAGAAAAGAAAAACATTCTTAACTAGATGGAAGAGAAGACTAGAAAGGGGGGAAAGGGGGATGAAAAAAACAAAAACTAATGATTTTGCAAACAAAAACTGTCATACATTATATATGGTCTCCACGCATGAATGGACAGCAAACCACGGAGAAAGTCGTAGACTCTGAAAATCACAAGGGCGCAGCTTCAAATCGCAAAGCTTCTTGAAAATCTTGTCCTTGAAGGAATAGGCTATGACTTTGCGAGGTACGTAGAAGACCAAACACGAATCCCCTTCATCGTCTCCTCCAAGGAAGCAAAGCATGTTGTATTTATAAGTCATACAACCCCGGCCAGGGTGCTTACTATACATCTCCGGAAAATCCACTACACCCAGGTGAAGATCAATCCGGTGTTTCACAAACCACTTGGAACAGTCAGCCTTCAATTCCAACACTTGAAAATAACGAATGCAATCATCATGGAATTCAACTAATTGTAGATGGCCTCCAAACTCCCCAAAATGCAGTAGCTCCTTTGTGAGTCGATCATGAGGCATCGGATATGGGACGAATTCATGTCCAATACAATCATAATAGATTGATATCTCGGAGAGACAAGTAGGCCAATAAATCTTCCCATCAAGGAAGACGCCATTTTCAAATATTATACTCGACAGGTAAGTAAATGATGATCCGGAAAACACCCAAGTTCGAGTGGAGGAGGAATACAAGGCAACACAAAAATCGACCCCGCCCCATTGTCTGGCACGGACAGCAAGTATGTTGTAGTCAGGTGAAACAGAGGGATCAAAAATCAAGGTCATAGAAACAACAAAGTTTCTCTCATCCCCATTAACCGGCCTAGGAATAATCGAATACTTCTTTGTGGTGGGGTTCAGAACATAGTATTTAGTATCAACATAATCCAAAGAGTAACTAGATGAAGAGCAAAGCAACAAACCATTACAGGACTGACAGATTTTCACACCTTCAGGATCATTGATGAAGCTAAATGACCGAAGCTTCTTCTTCTTTTTATTTTCTAACACATTGAGAGAAACATGATTGAATTTGATAGTGTGTGAAGTGACAGAGTTGTACCTTCGGTAGTAGAACGCAGAAGGAGATTTCGGAGCAATCCAATCACGCATCACGTAAGGATCCGAGATCAGAGATAGCCATCTGTGCGACACGGCCTTGAAGGAAAACAGAGGCTTCGCCGGTAATCGAACGAGGATCTGATTCAGAAGATCATCGTTGCCGATCACCTTCTGTACAGAGGAGCTGAAAGGGAGGGCGGTGGCTGAAGGGGAAACGCGGCGGCGCTGGTGGCGGTGGAGGAGGGCGGAGGAAGACATGGCTAGGAGAAGCAGAGGAGGGTTTGGAGATTGGGATTGGGATGACGAAGACGATGAGAATGAGGGTTCCATATATAAGGAAAGTAGGGTTGAATGAATTGAATGCGTAGAGTAGAACAGAGAAGCATACACACACACACAAATCAGTTACGATTCTTTCTTTCTTACCTTTTCTGGAAAATGGCATTTGCTCTCTATTTCTTCAGTTACGAATCTTTCTTTCTTAGCTTAGCTTTTCTGGAAAATGGCATTTGCTCTCTATTTCTTCAGTTACGATTCTTTCTTTCTTAGCTTTTCTGGAAAATGGCATTTGCTCTCTATTTCTTTCACACGGATCAGAGTAGTGCTTTATTTGTTAAGAGATGTTGCCGCTATTTCCCTTCCCTCCTTTCTCTAAAATTTTTTAAAAAATTACCAAAAAAGAGTCTAGAGTTTAAACTTATAACAAAAAGAAATCCAAATTTTTTAATTTTTATATTTTACTTTCAATCTAATCTATTTATCTCATTCTTGTTAAGTAAAAAAAAAAATATATATATATATATATTATTTATTAAGCTCAACTGGAAAAAGGTATAATAAATTTTTTTTTGTATACTTACATTGAGTATAATGATTAAATTATATATTTTTTTTATCAATTTTACTTAATAAAAATAGGTAAATAATTCAAATTGAAAACAAATCAAAAGATTAGACTTTAAATTGATAAAATTAAAATTTTATAATTTATTTTGCTATAAGGTTTAAACATTGGAATTTTTTTTTTTTTTTTATAACTTTTTTAAAAATTTTAGATGTAACGGTTATTGGCAAATGTTGGATTACTTTGAGATAAGATTTGTCCATTTAATGCCATTAGAGTTTTTTTTATTTGGTAAGTGATTTCATCATTATCATCATTACCCTTAATATATTTTTGAGTAGATTACAAATAAAAATTTTGAAAATCACATAGTATAAGTTACAAATAGTTGTAGGGGTGTAGGACACATGTAGGTCTACATGGTGAGTCCCACAACAATATAATTATTTGATGTAATTTTTTATTGACTATAGTTACAAATAAAGATGTTAGAGATTAGGAATGTAAGAAAATCGAAAAAATCGATCAAAGCGGACTAAATCGGTTATATTTGGTCTGTTTTTTTAACAAGAATCAGTCTGTGCGGTTTTTAAATTTGAATTTTTTCGATTTTCGGCACCTTATGCACCAATCTAAACCGAAACTGACCGCTTCAACATATATTGTATTTAATACATATATATATATATATATATAATCTAATAATATAATGATATTAATAAGTATAATAAATTATTAACCTTAATTAATTAACATTATCATCTTTATAACCTAAGTTTGTAAACTCTTATTATATATAATCTTAATTCCAACTCATCATTCTTGAAACCTTAGTATTTTTAAACTTTTTTTTGTTAATTTAGGAATTGAAAAATATGTATTAAATGGATGGATTTGATATATTTGAAATGGTAGACAAATAACTAATTTAATGTTCTTATATAGATTAATGATTATGTTTAAAAGTAGTTCAAGTTTGAGAAATCCTAAACCGATTAAACCATACCAAATCGAACTGTTTCAATCGGCTCGGTTCGGTGCAGTTTGATGGGAGAAACGGTCTGTATCGGTATTCAAAATAATAAAACTGACATTATCGGTTCAGTGTAATTTTTTACATAAATACCGACCGTACCGAACCGATTACATCCCTACTAGAGACTTTAAATAAATTGTCATATATTTTACCGAATATTTATATGGATGTAAGATCGGACTCATGTGGTCCATGTAGTGTGGGTCTCATACCTATGTGAATATTTAGTATTCCCACCATCTATTAATCTCTTTTGGAAAATTGAACTTTTTTTGGTAATACAATCATTACACTTTAAAAATATTAACTTTCCAAAACTGCCATTTGGTGATACAATTATTACACTTCAAAAATAATGTTCATGAATTTAAAAGAAGCGCAAATAAGAAATTGATGTTATTTTAGTTTTTCATTTTTTAAAATGGATTAATATTTTGAGATAATGAAAAATGACCTTTTTCTTTTATACTACCATCATTATCCTTCAAAAATATTAACTTTTAAAAACTACCATATGGTTAGGGTTGCAAACGAACCGAGTCGAGCCGAGTTTTTCTGAGCTCGAGTCCGGCTCGTTTACTTATCGAGCTCATTTATTAAGTTAGAGTTTGGTTCGATAAGTAACTAGGCTCAAGCTCGGATCGGTTCATTAACATTAATGAAACTCGAGCTCAGCTCGATTCGATTCGACTCGATAAGATTTTTTTAATATTATTTATATTATTTGATATATAAATAATGTATTATACCATTATTTAATATAGAATTAATATATTTAAATAAAGATAAACGAGTCAAGTTTATACAAGCTCAAGCTTGGCTCATTTACCAAATGAACAGAGCCGAGCCCAGCCGAGCATTTAACGAGCCAAGCCGAGCATGTTCATGAACAACTCGGTTCATTTGCAGCCCTATCTTTCGTGGTACAATTATTACACTTCAAAAATAATGTTAATCAAATTAAAAAGAAGCACAAAATAGGAAATTTAAGTTATTTTAGTCCTTAATTTTTTAAAAGGGATTAATATTTTGGGACAATGAAAAATGACTTTTTTGGTAGTACAATCATTACACTTCAAAAATATTAATACAGTTTGCTTGATTTCATTTTTCCAAAAACACTTTTCAGAAAATTCTACTTTCTTATTTTCCGTGTTTTTTTTGTTTTTACTGAATTTTTTTAATATTTTAAGCAATTTTTTTACTTTTTAGACACACCTGACATAAATACACCTAAAAAGTAAAAAATTTGTAAAAAAAATATTTTAAAAAAGAAAAATTGGTCTAGGGTCCCTCTCCCACTTTTCATAATGGAAGAGATCCACAAAATTATTTTTTGATGTCTAAGGTCATTCTCATCTATCACAGAGAAATTCAGCCCCCTTCCTTTTGTCTACTCTCACGCACACACACAGACATGTACATACACACATACATACATACAGAGATAGAGCAGAACCAGGTGTAGCCGACGGTGAAGAGGACGTAGCGAGGCACATGTGGTCCAGCGAAGTACCACAGCGTCAATACCACCATGCCCAAGTTAGAGGCAGCAAGATCAGATAGAACACCCACATCTCTCTCTCTCTCTCTCTCTACTCCCTTCTGTCCCTCCCTTTCTTTCTCTCTTTCTCTAGAAATCAAGTTTCTGTCTCGATTTCAGGTAGGTGGTTTTGTTGGGCAAGAAGAAGATTGGAAAGGGAATCAATGTGAAAGGGTTACCAGACCCCGTCAAAAGGAGCTCCGATTGATGCTTTGAATCTGAAAATTTGAAACATCAGTACAGCCACTTACAACCAAAATACAGCACTGAATCTGAAAATTTTCAGTAATTTTCCCACGGTTTCTCGGAGACCAAACACATGCACAACTGAAGGAGGTTAAAATAGGTTTTTTTTCTTTTTCTTTTTTTAAAAATTCTCCACCTTCTTAGTAATAGAATTTCTCAAATTTCTCTGGATTCAACCCAGAGAAATTTGAATTTTCTTTGGATTCAACCCAGAGAAAATTCAAATTTCTCTGGGTTCAAGCTTCCAGGAGTATTTGGCAATGGAACTGAATTTTCTCTAGGTTGAGAATTTTCTCTGGGTTGAGAATTTCTCTGGTAATTTAGCTCATAAAACTTCTATTTCGATTATTTTTTTTCATTTGAACTGAATTTTAGGTCAAATATTCAAAAAAACTAAATGCAAATTCAAAGAAACTAAATGCAAATTCAATGTACGCTCCCAACTCAGGCACTAAATAATTAACAAGTTAACTTGGTTGTTAACCACAACTTCACATTTTATTCTGGGCAGAGTACAAGAACAAGCAAAAGCATCAAACTAATAGTTTACAGAGAAACAAACTAAAGAAGAAGAAAGCTTGAGCAAGAAGTGTTGATCATGGTGATTGTTCTCATACTCATACTCTTATGCTGATTGTTCTCATACTCATCCTGGTGATTATGTGCATGCCACCTTCAAGGCAACGAGCTTTGTCCATATACCGTTGTTGTTGAGAGATTTATCTCTGCAACTCATGTTTTTCATTTTCTCATTCTTTAGTTTCTAGAATTGTACACCTCATTTTGGCTAGAATGAGAGGTAAATTTTAGACAGAATTGAATTTTTCTGAATTGAATTTTCTCTGGTTTGGACCAAAGAATTTCTCTGGATTAAATTTTCTCTGGGACTGAAATTTCTCTAGATTGATGTTGAGGGACCTTAGACATCATGAAAATAGTTGATATCCTTTATACTGTAAAATCATAATATCAGGGACCTTAAAAAAATACCCCTTTTAAAAATTCACTAAATACCAAAAATACAACAAAAAAAATAAGAATTCAGTACATTTTTTGTATTTCTATGTATTTATTAATTTTTTAAAATATTTTTTCACAAATTTTTTTACTTTTTAGATACATCTAAGTAAGGTGCATCTAAAAAAGTAAAAAAAAAAAAATTTAAAATTTTAAAAATATTCACTAAAAACAAAAAAACACGAAAATAAAAAAACTTAATTTTCAAAAAACTTAATTCATAAAATTCAAACCAAACACCCAGATTAACTTTCCAAAACTATCCTTTGGTAGTACAATTATTACATTTCAAAAATAATATTAATGAATTTAAAAGAAACGCAAAATAGAAAATTTATATTATTTTAGTCCTTAATATTTGAAAATGGATTAATATTTTAGGATAATGAAATATGGAATAAGAGACTAATATTTTGGGACGGGGGAGTAGAATATTTTTTGGATCTTTAAGCATTACTCAATTATGAATATACTTTATGAAATTTACTTGAAGTATAAATCAGGCATTATAATTTTAAAAATTACAAATACTATCTTGTCATAATTTGTCATTCAATAAAGTTGACAAAAGAAATAAATTTTTTAACTATCCTTCTATATAACAATGAAATTACCAGAACTGTTAATTGAAATATATTATTAGT